ATAATAAACCACAATAAATGATGTGCAAAGCGTTTCTGTAAAGCAGAACTTCGGCAGTGACCAGCTGCTGTGTGTTTGGGCGGTAATCAAGAGGACAGACTGCAGAGAGAGAACCTGCTCCAGACAGTCATTTATCATCAAGACAGAAACATCATGACTGTGTGTCCTGAGGTTGAAGAGGAGGTCTCTGGGATATGTTGCACTTACAGGAGGACTGGTATTTGAAGGGTAGCAACAAAAGGAAAACTAAGCAACGTCCAACAGCTATCCTCACTCAGTAGGCGCTGGAACCCAGTGTACAGATCACATCCTGAACGAGGTTGAGATGAAAACCAACTGGCTCTCAAGAGAAACAGTCTCCCACAGACAGGTCCACTGGGTCCCTTATTCTGAATATAAAAATATTTATCGACTCAATCAAATTAATACTTGTGGACCGCTGTGATTTGCTAGATGTTTTATTTCATTACTGCAGCTGAGCTGGCTGTTCGAGGTATGTTTGTGTTTCAATCCATAAGGATCTGGGATAAGGTGCATGCGTATGCAAGAGACCGCATATGTGTTTGCATGTTAGTATGTTTTGATTTGTAGCCCGTGTGTGTGTGTGTGTGTGTGTGTGTGTGTGTGTGTGTGTGTGTGTGTGTGTGTGTGTGTGTGTGTGTGTGTGTGTGTGTGTGTGTGTGTGTGTGTGTGTGTGTGTGTGTGTAGCCTGTTTCCACCAGAATGAGGTAGGTAGGACAAACACTGGAGCTAGTTTGTCTAGGATAGGTAACACTGCTGAAAGTTAAAGCATGGCAATCAGTGAAGCCCAGTGGTTCGTTTCAGTGTCACAGTCAATTTTCTCACCGCCATTTTAGAATTATTTTGATAATGTGCAAGACTGTGATATGGGTTCAAAAAGACCAATGCAACTTTATACATATGAGTTCAATGTAAATTCACTGAAAAAGTAGTAATCTTGAAAGTAGGGAAGTGAAAAGTAGACCTACATGGACCCCCGTCCCCACATCCTCAGAGGCCTCCTAAATGGATTCTTCTTGTATCACTGCATTCACTGTCTGTTGCAGCCTGCACAAGTATGACTGTTATGCCATGCTAATGATCTACAAACTGATACAAAGTAAATGGAAACTTCCTCATAGGAACGTCCTACAGGCTGCCCATATTTGAGTCCCACACTGGGTACTCCAGCAGCTGTCGGGGGGGATGTACCAAGATCAGGAATAGTCAGCATACGCAAAAACACATTTATCCACATGCATCAGTCTTTTAGAAATTAGTATAAAGCCAACCAACCACCACTGTGCATGAAACTTGGTGAGCAAACAGTTGGCTAAAAGTAATTAATGTCTTTCAAGATTAAAAAAAAACTAAACAGTCAATTTTTTGGGAATACAAACATCTATCTATCTATCTATCTATCTATCTATCTATCTATATATATATATATATATATATATATATATATATATATATATATATATATATATATGTATGTATATATTTAACTTCAATAGCCAGATGTGTCAAATATTGTGAATATTTAATGTGGCTATTGTAGTAAAAGGGCTACGCAGCTGACACCTACCCTCTCACACAGTTTTAAATTATGGAAAAACAATACAAAAATCATAAATCTTGTCGCTGATATAAAGGCATCAGTATGACTTTCAGTCCATTTCAGCATTGTCAAAAAACTTCTCACAGGGGCTTAAATATAACAGGTTTCTATAAACAACTAAAAAGATAAGGGTTCAAAGGTTTCATGACTTCAAGGATCTTGAGCTTTATACTCACTCGTTATCTCATTCAGGTTGTTAAGCGTTTCCATGATCTTTTAAGAAAGAACATTTTTTTTCTTGTAAAACCAAAGTTAGCACTCTTGGGCTCACCCTGCCAAGGTTTTCAAGGTTGAGACCCTCTCCAGAACCAGCTGCTCATTTAACTGTTTCCCAGAGCTTATTAACTGTCTCCAGTCAGAATGAGTAGCATTTTAATCGGCCTATGTATTTACTCGGGGGCTAGAGATAATGTGTGGTTCAATCGCTGTAATTTCATCTTTATTTTAAGCTTTTATCCAGACTTTGACTTCAGTAATTGTTTTCTTTGAGGACCCACAGATTGCAATTACAACTCTCCAGTAATCACTGTTGCTCGATTTATTAGCAGCACCAAAGGGTTTTAAAGTGCCAACTGTGCAAGGAGCTCAGCTGGTTTCCATTTTTCTGTCATCATGGTTTTGTGTTTAAGCACAGAAGACTGCACAGCCTTGTGAAATCAATACCTTATGACCAAATACCATGATAGTTACTGGTTGTGCTTCTCTCTTGCAATGACAGATACAAGATGCTGAAGGCCCTATGGGGACGGGGGGATTGCACTTCTGGAGGACTTCAAGATGGTCTCCACTTCCACAATGTGCTGGAGATTAATTTGGTGTCGTGATTGTTTCAATAAAGACATCATGCTTTGCAATGACCCACCCAGTTAAAGTGCATTACCTATCAAGGACCTGTCCAGCCAAATTTCTCTCTTATGGTATCTTTCTTTGCATCAAAAGATAATTCAATTAGCCAGGCACTCCTGAAATAAATGGTTTTCTTTGTGAGGGGAGACAGCTAATTTTGTGCAACTTTCAAGCCAAAGACAAATTTCCCAGAGAGGACAGTTAAATGTATCATATCGTATCATATCTATGTCAATGTCAGCTTTATTTATATAGCACATTTAAAACAGCCAGTGGCCTACCAAAGTGCTTTACAGTAAAATAGCCAGAAAACATAAAAAACAATAAAAGCACAACACATATAAAAACATAAAACAACAATATAGATAAGTATAGCAAATGAATAAAAGACCCAATAAAAGTAACTATACCATATCATATCATATCACATCACATCATGATCAAATAGACAGTCACATCTGTGATAAATACACATGGTCATATGACCAGTCATTACAATTTTAAAGCATGTGTCAAACCAATATAGTATTGTGTAGAATAATCTTGTTTTGTATTGTCTAATAATGTGTTGCCCTGCACTCTACTGTATATTAAATCCTTTTATGTTGTATTAAATCCTGTGATAATAGTATCCTGTGACAATACATCACATCATATTGTATCAAATAGTATTGTCAAACATCTGATTGTGTCATATTTTACTGCATGGCACTGTTTCTACCACATTATATTAACTCATATATATATATATATATATATATATATATATATATATATATATATATATATATATAGAGAGAGAGAGAGAGAGAGAGAGAGAGAGAGGGATAATCTTTCCTTTTGTTGTTAGGGTTACCAAATAACTTGATCTACTTAGGTTCCCTTGTCTGGCTGAGGAAGAAGTGTGAAAATCTGACACAGCTCCTTGTCCCCACCTTGACAGACTTAAGCACAACACTAGAAAAATGTTTGGTCCAACACTTTGCACTTCTGAGGTGTACCATTACTGAGCTTTCACAGAGGCTGTTTTGAGAGCTGGTGTTTTCCCAGTTTGAGAGTGCCATAAGCGGTGTGTTTGCGCCTGAAAGAAGTGGTGGGAGTGAGGCCCTATACGGCAGAGGGTCACTTCTGTTTTATGTTCACCCAAACCTACTTCTGTAGGCCTCATTGTATCCAGAAGAGGTGAAGATCCACGTGATCAATCACTTGTCCAAAATCAATCATGTTTCATCATCTCTTCTTTCTATCCAGGTGATTTGTATAAAGTTGAGACAAATCCAGCAAAGTCCTCCTCCTCTCTTTTGACAGTAGTGACATGGATTCATGCCTGAGTTTTCTTTTCAAACCTGACATTTGGCCGGTTACGAGCCTTGGCTATGAACTCATAGTGGAATTTACCCCCTACAACCCCATGTTTGACCTTAGCTTTTCAAAACAAATCCTCTTTATGTGGAGTTAGTCATCATGTCGGCCTGCTGCAGCTCCACACTTGTTGTTTCAGTGAAGTGTGAAAGGAGAGCAGCCCTGGCCAAACCAAACCGCCGCAAATTTATGATTACATCAACCATAGATAAATCTGTTTAATGGGCAGAAACCATTTAGTAATAACAAAAGCCAAGTGCTCTTAAATACTGTACACAGAGTTTTTCTCCCATTTACACAATAGGAGTCATAAAGCATCGCTGTAGCCACATTAAGCTTGTTGTTTAACATCTTGGCAAAGTCGACTGGCTTTAGTCTCTGACTTCTAACAGTTTCCTCTCTGTGTCTGCGTAAACACTATTTACAATTGAAAACTATGTGCTGAACTTTATTGTGGCTGAAGTCCAGATGGCACACATACTCAGCTTCTGAAAAGAACTTGCAGCAGCCCATACACTTTGTTATACTGTAAATTACTTTTCCAAAGAGAACCATAAGTTATTCTGAATTAATTTGGAGTGTGTTTGTGTGTGTGGGTGTAGCTCAGGCATCCAAGAAGGAGGTGAAATACCCTTACACCATCTCCCAGCTATAGTTATCACACATTTTTATTTTAAAAGAAGGTCTTGATTGGCTCCTTAATTATGATTCTTTGTCGAGGGATTGGGGGTGCAAGTGAGGTTCATATGGCGTAGTCAAGTCTTTCAGAGCTGCTGGTGAAAAACGTGACTATTTTCTAATAATCCTGCTGTCTAGTCTGAGCCGGCCCAAGCCATAAGCAAACTAGGGCCCCATGGCTACTTGGGGGCCCCCAGTGCTCAACAACAGGACAACAGAGGTTAAAAAAAAGGGGGCGCTGTACTGATGTCGAAAACCGTCCCCCCACCACCACCGCTGCTTATGTGGTGAAAGTTCGTGAACCAAAAAGATTTAGTCGAAATATTTAATGTGGAAACTATTTGTTATATTTCAAATTAAATGCTAAATCCTGAAATCAAAATGTTGGATGAGAAGTAACTTCTGAATCATGCTCGCAAGGTTCCTTTTCTGTGATGTCGCCAGCACCTTGCATCTTTTGACTGAGCAGAAAGTCTACAAATTTTACACACAGGTGGCGGCCAGACCACAGAGGAACCAACATCACTTCACTGCAAAATTGCCTCCGTTATTGGAAGTGCCAGTGTGTGTGGCATTGTGTCGGAGAGGGAGGGGGACACCGATTTTGCACGGACTGAGGAGAGTGGTAAGTTACAATTTTACCTGTTTATTGAATCAAATGTTTGTACAGACACGTGGCAAGAAATGACGAGCATTGTGTCCTCAGTCACTTCGCAGTTGGAAGCAGTGGGAGAGGAGGTGGAGGAAGAGGAGGTGCTTCCCAGCACGTCTGGCACACTGGCTGCAGGCCCGTCTGTCCCCAGCACGCCCTGCGGATCCAGAGTGCGCGGAGGCGGCCGGGTTCTCACAGAGACTGTCCTGCAGACACAAAGGGACACGATCGGAGCCATCCGAGAAGTGAGGGAGGAACTGGCACAAATACGCACAGTCTTGCAGAACATGTGTGACATAATGTCAGCAGCAACGGACGCAATAAAAGATTTGTTGAAAAAGTGAAACGCACTTGCCTTTTTACACATGCCGCATCACTTCCTCACGTGGCCTTACTCCATGCTGATGTTCGTCATGCCGGGGAGGTGGCTGTGGGTCGCAGTCCACGTGTGGCGGGGCGGGGGGGGGGTGTCAGGTTGGAGGGGGATGGCGTTCCTCACTGCCAAGTTGTGCTGCACCCCACATGCCCTTATGATTTTACACACTTTTCTGGGGTGGTAGAGTAGCCTGCCCCCCGAGGCATCTAAGCACCTCCACCTACTCTTCAATAAACCAATGGCGCGCTCCATGACAGAGTGCGCACGGCTGTGCACAATGTTAAAGCGCACTTCCTCTGCGCTCTGCGGGTTTGTAAATGGTGTGAGGAGCCACCGCCTCAGTGGGTAGAAGCTGTCACCTGCAAGGTATAACCAGAGTAATTAACAAGCGGGATCCAATTGCATTCCAAGAGCGCCACTCAGTAATGCTGTTCCAGTGGCAGCAACAGAATGGGTCAAATATAGAGAAGAATTTCCCCGACAGAGCAAATAAAGTTGTGTGGGAATGCTATGGTGTTAGTGTAATACTTGCCGAGGAGCCAGCCATCACGAGCAGCACCTGCCTGCACTCTGTTCCCTACACCGCTGTGCGCCAAAATGAATGAATCGTGTGTTGAGCCAGGCCACCGTGCCACTACATTTGTGAGCACCATTGAGGAGTCACAAATTATTTGAACATTTATGGTGTGCACACCTTTTCGGTTTACATAAACAAATTCGTTCTCGCTGGGGGCTCTTATAGCAATGTGGGTGCAGTCAATTGCACCGATTACATTAGGGGAACCAGACATTGCTGCAAATTGCCTTTTGCTGTTGGCCTGTTCAACAACAGTGTAGGGAAACCTGATGTAGCGACTTGTCATTTGGATGATCCCATCCAAAACAGCTGGCAGTGCGGCACTGAGGGATGGCTGTGAGATCCCAGACCTTTTAGCACAGAATTTATTATTGATTTATATTTCGTGAATCTGTACATTTAAATTACGCCTATATTGTGATATAACTGTCATAATAAATATCTGCCCAACAATTCCCTCTGGAACAAGCCCGTTGCCAAGAAACCAATTGTCGTCAGCACCTTAACGTGTGCCGGTATGGCGGGGTAAGGGTGTGTTAGGTGCTCGAAAATTGGACTCAATTCAGCAATTAGATCCAAGAGCAAGGCTCTAGGGAGTCTAAAACGGCTTATTAGCCATTCATCATCATGAGCCAGGAAATCTTCCCGATCTTGGAACACCCTCTCCAGCCGGATCCATGCATTGGCGTGGTCTTCGAGAAGTGCAAGTGCATCCATTGTGCTGCATTGCGCACGACTGTCACTGTATGGCTTTTTATACGCGCACTTTCCATTAACCAATTGTTTTCACCTTGCTCCAATTGTCTCCAAAAAGTGCGTAAGCAAGGTGTGGAGTTTGCTTAAAGTTGCGCACATTCCTACACTATTTTTTTTTTAATAAATCCCAACTCTTGCTTAAGAAGTGGCCTACACACTTCCAAGACAGGTTTTGTGCGTAAGCAAGCTTTATAAATGAGGCCCCTGGTATCTTCTGATTCAGTTAAGTCAAGTTGTTCATATCAACTCACAGTTTACAGTCTCGCACCACCAGGTACCTCGAGTTCTCTCCTGCTCTGTATTTAGCACAAAAGTTTCTCTCACTTTTCCTTTGGTCCACTGAGTCTCATTCTTCTGTGAACTTCAGTTCATAAAGGTGTCCTTTATGTGCACATTAAGTCATCATCTTCACAGTCATTTTTGTTTCCATTTTTTGTCTTTTTGAAGCCTGCAAAACCAAACAGCTGATCAGTATGCTGCAGGAGGACAAACACATTTATGTAGTGTCAGCAAAAAGTGCTTTTTTAACAACAAAGCAGAGGGCTGATACGTTTCTGAATTCATCATTTTCTTACACTGGCTTTGGTTTCAGACTCTCAGCTGGGTAAAACAGTTAAGATAAGTGTTAGAATCCTTCACGTCTGCTCTGACTCCACTGAGGAGCAGCAGGCACACCTGCTCAGGCTGCAGCAATCAACCACAGGTGTAGCCACTGTGGCCTAATCAGGGGCCCTAATTCATCAACTGTGTGTAGAAAAGGTTCTAAATTCTGGCACTGGAATGAAATTTAGAATGTGCGTAGGTACAAAAAAATACGCATTTATGAAAGATGCAGACACGGGTCGTATGCAGACTAGTAAGTAATCGATGATGATAAATCCCACCTGTTCTTAACCACTATGCTTGTGCATGGTTACGGTCATTTGCATTCAGAAATGCCTCCAATTGACCATAAATGGTATCAACAATCCCTTTAAAATTGTGTGAATAGATTTTTTTCCCCCTCGTCGAAATCATGGCAAAGAGATCAAAGAAGAGGAATTTCACTGACAGTGAGATTGAGGTACTGGTGGGAGAGGTTGAACCTAACCAAAAAAATTATATTTGGAACACTGTGTGACTAACAAAAGAAAAACTGCCACCTGAGAGAAAGTGATGGCTGCTGTAAAAGGTGTTGGGTCGGAGGAAAGATCACTTTCTGAAATAAAGAAGAAATGGTTGGATATTAAAACCAGAGCCAAAAAACAAGTCCCAGCCCGCAGACTAAAAAATATCTGTAACCGAAGGAGGACAAACCACACCTCAACTTTCACCAGCGGACACCTGCATTGCCAGCATCATCGGAGATGCAGCATTAATTGGGATTTTTCCTGATGGAGACACAGACACTCTCCCAACAGCTGTACCATTGACCAGTCACACTGAAGGTAAAATAAAAAGCTGAACTTATTTGGACAGTTTAATTTCTGAATGATAATTGAAATGAATGTGACAATCATGTGATGTTTCTTCAATAACTCAGAAACTCAAGCTAGCCCTGCCTGCCCTCAGGAGCCAGAGGCAGTGGAAGAGCCAGGGGAGTTGGAGGAACAGGAGCAGCCAGGGCTATCCAAAACCCATTCGGTGTGTTCTGGGGGGCTGAAGGTTCTGACGGAGGCAGTGCTAAAAAAAACAACAAGACACCACCAAATCAACAAATGAAATAAAGGATCAGCTGACCAACATGGCAAATACTTTACTGCAAATTAATAAGTCACTCAAACAGATTGCTTCATGCGCATCACAAACGTTAAACAAAAAAACTTTGACATATTGAAATGATTTGTCCATCATATGCTTTCAATCTGAAATTTCTCAGTTGAACAAAGATCGGCTAACAGGCAGACTTACCTAAAATCTCTTTATGAGTCTCTCTCCTGTTTGAATAGCAGTGGCATTAGGGGGTGGGTAAGGCTCTGCGTACGGCATCGGTTCGTCTGCTCGGAGGTGTTCCTGCAGAGGGATGTCTTGTCTGATGGCTAAATTATGCAGCACACAGCAAGCCAAGATGATGTGGCAGACTTATTCAGGCTTATACTGAAGTGCCCCCCCCCCCCCCCATGCTGGACAGGCACAGCCATCGACATTTTGGCAGGCTTATTGCGCGTTCAACGCGCATGGGCCAGGTTGTAATGCTGCTCCTGCACTACCTTGGATTGGCTACGGGGGTCATCAGCCATGGCCATAGTGGATATCCACGATCCCCTACAGAAATATTACAATAAACCATACGAAGCCTAGAAAATAATTTCAAAATGTTGTAACACTCACCAATAAGCCAGCCATCGTCAACAGCTCCTGCTTGGAGGTGCACACTTACAGAGCTGTTCTGCAGAATGAATGAGTCGTGCGTTCCTCCAGGCCACTGGGCAACAACATTTAACAGATCTGTATGCATCGCAGATTATTTGTGCATTGATTGAATGAAATCCTTTCCTGTTGACATAACTGAATTTATTGTGTGAAGGTGCTTTTATTGCAATGTGGGTGCAATCTATGGTTCCAATTATGTTTGGGAATCTGGCAATCCTCGTTTTATTTTGGCTTGTTGGTGATGTGTGTATGGGAACTGGATGTAAGTTGAGTCCTGAGTAATTATTGCAGCCGACACTGCCGGCATGATTCTGCTCAGTGTTGGCTGCAAAATATCATATATGTCTCCAATCTCGCGTTGAAACGTTCCAGTGGCCAAAAATCCCAGGGTGGACAGGAGCTGGATGTGCACTAGGATGACTTCGGTGCATTTTGTCTCTCGCTTCAACACAGGTTGTAATTCATGGCATAAATCCATTAAAATATTTTTTTGAAAGCAGTACCTGCTGTGAAGCCACTCTGTGTTTTCACTGAACAGATCAGCATAGCCTTTGAAAACGCGCTCTCTGCGGAGCACACGGTTCTCCAAGTCCTCCAATAGTGCAAGATAAGCCATGGTACTTTTATTTTCATACTTGTCAGACTTCTTTTGAGGTTGTCATGTCACAGCTGTCTTTTACAGCTTGTAACACCAATTATTCAAAATGTCTGCTTAATAACTGATTGATAAATTTCATTAATTGGAGGCAACATGGAACATGTGTGGAGTTTGACATTTCTGAACACTGTGGGCTCTATTTTCGTGTCCGACGGGGAAGCGGCGGAGGGTGGCGAACCCCGCGCAGTGGTATTTTTGTCTGGCGGAGCCCGGTGTACAGCCAGTTTGGTATTTTCGTGGACTGATGCGCACCAAGGTCCGCCAAGCTGGGCGTGGTGGCGTGGCAGGGGGAGGTGTCGACAGAATCAGCTGGGTAAAGTGCGCTGAAAGCTCGCCGATTCAAACCTGGTCAGCTTTTAGCGCAGGCGGAGCGCAGCTGGTCTAGTGGTATTTTGGTAGACCGGCGGCGTATCGGCATACGTCACCGATGCCTCACCGGTAGGTTTCCACAGTGTCAGGCACATTTCAGTGCAACTAATAATCTGAGTCAGCACATACATTTAGATCTATATAGATATATTCTGATCTATATCTGATCTGATGAGCGTGTTTGGCACACGTTTGGACACACAACCTGACCGAATCAACACAGCTGAAACCGCATTAAATTAAATTAAATATCTAG